TTCCAGTAATGTGTTGACAAATATAGTCTACCGTCTCAAGCAGTGGTACAGTTGTGAATAAGGATGCGACATCAAAGGAGAGCATTGTCTTACATGATACGTCTTGATTTCTGATACGATCAATGAATGCGAAAGAATCGGAAATCAAGGCGTCTCATGCAAGACCATGCTCCCCTTTGATGTCGCATCCTTATTCACAACTGTACCACTGCTTGAGACGGTAGACTATATTTGTCAACACATTACTGGAAACAATATTCGAAATACCCGTGAAAAAATGTAAAGAACTCATACTGAGATGTACTTGGAACGTACAGTTTTTGTACAATCACAAGTACTATCGATAGAACCAATTGTAGCATATGGTTCATCGCTTGTCCCAGTCCTGGCAGATATATTTCTCTATTGTGTCGATTCAATTGCAGGTGTGAAAAAGGCAAATTAATCTCAGGAAAGGCTTGTTTCAATAGAAGAAGTTTCTGAATTTCGACGTTTTGGTTGCTGGACCTTTCCTTGGGGATAGTCATCGGGCATGATGACACAAGGTGACGATTGCTGCGACCCTTGTTGATTTGGAACCTGTGGAATCGCTTTGCTTTTCACGTTCTGAGTGTGTGCTAGAGTCATTTAGAAGTATCAGGCAAATAGCGGTTACAGCCTGAGACCAACCTTCAGAGCTTGCAACCTCAGGTATTCGAGCTTTATGCCGCCGGTTTAGCTTCCTAGAATGTTAGTACGCTGAAACGAATACTGGATATCGAAAGTGGAGTGATCATGGCTTGGTGTGAAGGGAAGCAAAAGTGGCAATAATTTTCCCATTTGAGTTCTAAGAATTAACCAATGTGATGGTCGTAGGAACTAGATAATACAACTAATTGTCATCAACGGCAAAGCGCACTGATATAATCATTGTCATCAGGCGGCTAACTTTCTCACATTATAAATCTGCCCGTCTTCAGTTAACCTTCAGACACCGATTTTCGAAAAATCTACAAACAATCGATTCATGGAAGTGAACGACTATTGATCGCATGAACTGAAATTACAAAGTACACTTCCTTTTATTCATTCGAGGAACTTACGACTGGTACAAAGATGACTAAGGTAAACATCGGGTGCCAAGTTCGCTCTAAGTCACCTGGATTTATGTTGGCCCGTTGTCGGGTTGGGCAAACTTATTGTTTTCAGATCAGAGGTATACATTGATCTTGTATCACTGAGATAGCAAAACGAAAATACTATCTTGAAATTTACCTAATGCTTTGTGCCTTTTTCTGTAGTTGGCACGCTCAAGTTGTTGACGGGCACGACATAAAAGCTCTTCTAGCAGCACTTACCACTGCGCGGTCGATCAAGGAAAAGCCATCAGCCTTGATCTGCAAGACCTTCAAGGGAGCTGGATTTCCGGGGATTGAAAATGAAGAAGATTGGCATGGAAAGCCATTGGGATCTAAAGGTGATGCCGTGCTACAGCATTTGGAAGCGAAGTTACGCGTTGGTCCTGCTGGAGACGTTGCAGATACCAGAGGGAAGCTGATGCCGGCAGCTCCACAAGATGACTGCAAACCAACAAAGCTAATCGGTTGCGTTGCGCTTCCGTCTCCCCCTCCGTACAAGCTTGGAGAACAGGTCAGAATAAGTGATTTTCTTGGCTTTTAGTGTCATTTTGTTTCTGAAAGTTTTTGTGAGCCATATATTCAAGCATATTTGACACCAGCTTATAGACAAGCGTGTTAGCAACGCAACAAAAGTAACGGTAGGAAATGGTGAGATTAAGGTACATCAGTAAACGGCTTGTAAGAAGGCCAATTACAGAGAATTAAAAGAAAATTCCTTTCCACGATCTCTTCTTCTCCGAAGCTACAGTCATTCGTTTGCCCCATCAGTTTATTGTTGTGGTTGAAAGACAGTTTCACAGGAAGGATTCAAAGAACGAAAGTAAACGGCACTATTAAAAAACCGTTATTGAATAATTCTGGAGTCCTTCAGGGTGATGTGCTCTGTTCGCATATGTTTTCAAAATTCATCGGTGACTTGCCCTCTATCCCACCATCCACTACCATTATATGTTGATGGTATGGTTTTATGTCAATCCATTTCAAAACAGTCTTACACAGAAACATTCTCTGACAGTTTAGCATAAGTGCAATTATTCTCGAACCAATCCGTTCTCCAGTTGAATGCTTCTAACTTCTACGGGGGCGTTTTTAGTCTTTTCCGATCAGTCAATTACGTACCCGTCAACGGGACACACCCGTGAATTCCTAGGAGCCACCATAGAGAGCAATCTACGGTGGCCCTCTCAATTACTAGCCTGTCCTGGTAGACTGTCGCTTATCCTTCCAGATACGCAAGTTACGACAATTTAAAGTAGTGTGCAACTATATTTTCTTTTGTTTATCAATGAATTTTTCTGGTCATAATTTACCGTTCCTCCGTTCTTCTCCCTAGACTACTTGAAAAATTTCATTAATCTTCGTTTCGGTTTGGTAGTTTCTATCTCTGTTTCTCTTATTCATTCAAGCACTAATCACCAAAATTGTTTGATTTTCATATTAATTCACGGGAGAATTTCGCCCATAAGACCTTCAACTACCCCATCCGCTCTATCTCGATCTATGTGTTTGCAGTTCCCACGCTACAGCCCGATCTGGTCATCACTACTTACACGCTTGCATAAAAGTTTATCGCAGTCCAACGGCTTGTATTCCAATTGGCAAGATCCGAAACAAACTAATTTTAAACCTTTAAAGATAATCGCGTGTTTAAGTTTTGTGATGAGAGCTCAAATCATGCCGCAGCTCGGGTGTCACGTGACCGGTCGGTCTTGCTATTGATCTCACTAGCATTGACAGGCCTGATAATTATTGATCTGTATTTCACCCATTGACCCTGTAACTCGTGTTGATACAATTACAGTCAGCTCGTTCCAGTTCAGCGACTTGTGTTCACAAACCAGAGGCGTGCAGTTATGACAAGTTTTATCATTATTGTGTACGACTGTTTTCATTTTTTTATCCCATTGTAACGGTGAGCACATTTTTTTGGACTGAACTGTAGGTATAATTGCCTGCACAAGTGATTACAATACCAAACAATAATTTTGTGTTTCACCGTACAATTTTCGATTTGTTTATGTTTATTTTATGCGGGACAGGATTTTTACAGCACTCGTGTCACTGACTTCTATTCTGTTCAATACCTCTGTGCATCTCGAACCTTGGAAAATCCTCATCCTTAGACACTAATCTGATAGACGGGCTGTAACACCCCAAGGCAACACTGAAGCTATCTTCTTTTTACCTCTACTCCAAGTCAGCGTCTGATCGTGACACTGCCCAGAACGTGTAAAGAGATCGTGGAAAACTAGATGATACGCATGCATGTGGAATACGTGACCAAGCTATCGGAGGCAGTGTAAAGGGATTTCTTTGAAGGACCGATTACCAGCACTCAACTCACGAGGACGAATCTTGTCGTTGCTCATCTGGTGTTCCCACTAGACACGAGCAATAGCTCCAAGACGTCGGTGGTTGGTGCAGCGCAGAGAAGCTAGTTCTCCAATCTGTAAAGCAAAACACTGCGAACCGCGGCTATGTACGCTCTTTCCTCAGGGGAGATTCGGGTGCTAGTGCTCCGCTGCGAATGTCGTACGTTACAACTACTGCCCTAGCTTTCGCCATTCGTGCGTGATCTCTTCCGCAACACTATCTCTAGCTGCGATCAAACTAACGAGGTATTTTAAGCTCTCAACTGTTTCTACTTGGTCAACACAAAGAGTGAGTGCAGTCGCAGGTTCCTCCCAGTGTTGTACACGCACATGCAGTGGGATGGTGCAAAGGATATAAAATATCTGGATTCTCTGATTGCAACACGGTTTTATACGTGCTAAACTGCCTGTTTATTGAGACAATGCTTTAATTACATAGCCAAATAACTTCTAACAGTTAATAATGTATGGCTGTTCTTTTGATTCTGACGACAATCAAAACCGGCGCACAAAAGTGCATGGTTAATGGTTGTAAAAGTTGAACTGTTTAAGTTTCAATCATATCGAATTGCGTACTATCAGTAGTTCCAGCTATCACCGTAATCTAATTCCTCACCATACGTTCAATCATTTACGTAAGGTTGCTACCCGTTTGGCGTACGGCAATGCCTTGGCGCGACTTGGTGAGGCCTGTGATCGCGTCATTGGATTGGACGGCGATACCAAAAACTCCACCTTCAGTATCAAACTGATGCAGGCTAGACCTAAGCAGTTCATCGAGTGTTTCATTGCCGAACAAAACCTAGTGGGCGTCGGAATCGGGTGTGCCGTGCGACAACGCACAATTCCGTTTGTGAGCACATTTGCAGCGTTTTTGACGCGTGCTTTTGACCAAATTCGAATGGGTGCTGTGTCGCAGACAAATTGCAATTTTGCCGGTTCACATGCTGGTGTAAGCATAGGTAAGCGGGTTGCTTTTTCAGTTTCCTGTAAAATAGTACTGTGATATATCTTATATCGTCTGCAAATACGTTCGCTAAGTCATTATCCGATATCAGGTACGTTATTTAAATTTGACTGTGAGGTTTCTTATGATTTGGTTTGGTAAATCCAACCCTTGAAAATTGTTTCCATTGTGGTTTTTGTCGCAGTGATCTCATCAACGGTTCTCAAAACAGCTTCATTTGATCAGCCCACTATAGATATATGATATATTTCACCAAAAACGTATATTCTTGTAATTTCCATTTGATAGACTTATGTTTATAAACATTTTGCTGTTTGATGTCTGGGTTTTCCTTTGGCTGATATCAACCAATAACGCATTACCATCTAAGAAAGAACAAACAACTTGATCATCCATTGTCCAGATTTCCTTTGAAAAGTGATAAATGACTGGCCGATTCGGTTGAAAATTGTTACTTAACGATTCG